CGTCGGAGGGGAGCTGGTTGGCGTGTGTGTGTGTGCGTGCGTGTGTGTGTGTGTGTGTGTGTGTGTGTGTGTGTGTGTGTGTGTGTGTGTGTGTGTTGTGTGTGTTGTGTGTGTGTGTGTGTGTGTGTGTGTGTGTGTGTGTGTGTGTGTGTGTGGTGTGTGTGTGTGTGTGTGTGTGTGTGTGTGGTGTGTGGTGTGCGTGTGCGTGTGTTTTATGTGTGTGTGAAATGGTTTATCGGTTTAACATGTGTTTTGTGTTGTTATTGTTTTGAAGTTGTAGATGCTGTAGTTGTAGTTTTTTATTTTGTTGTATTGATGTTTGATTTGATTCTTGTTGTTATTGATATTAGTATTGTTATCATAGATAGTTTCGATATTCGTGATGATGATAATAATAATCGTCGGTGTTATTATCATGACTTTATTATTATTACACTATTACTTAATCCGGATTAACTTAGGACCGATTTTAATCCCTCAATCACGACAATCTATACAACACACGCGCACACAACAAATGCGCAAAGACCACGTACTTTGAACACAAAAGGAGAAATAAAGGGAACAAACCCCCCGCTATATTAACCACGCCCGCGCAAGGCCAAGACACACAACGCCCACGGACAAAGGACGGCGTCAAAACACACGGGCGTTCCTCGTGGTGGTGAATTCGCGCACTGGAGAACTCGCGGACGGCGCTGCTCTTTTGTTCCTCCTCTCCTTCTTCTTCTTCTCCTTCCCTTCTCCTCCTCAATTCCCCCCCCCCCCCCTTCCCGAAACTCATCTTCGTGTCTCTTTCCCGCCGCCATGTTTTTCTCTTTCTTTCCTTTTCCTCCTTCCTCCTATTCTTCATATTCTTCTTCTTCTCTTCTGCCTCCTCCTCCCTTTTCTTTTGTTCGGCGCGCGGGAACGGATGCGGGGGGTCGCTGGGTCAAAACGAGGAAACTCCGGCTATGAAACTTTTGTCTTCTTTTTTTTATTTAATTTCTTCTTATTTCTCTCTCTGTCTTTTCTGTTTGTCTGTCTTTTCCTCTACGACTCTGGTTTTGTGTCTTTTTTCTTTTTGTTTTTTTTTTGTTGTTGTTTTTCTTATATCTTATTGTCATTTTATTCGTTATTGTTCTTTATTTATTGTCTTTTCTTATTTTCTTTGTCTTATTGTTATTTTTCTTATGTTCTTTCTCTTATAATTCTCTCCCCCCCCCCTCTCTTCTCTCTCCTCTCCGCTCATCTCTCTCTCTCATCTCTTTCTCTCTCACTCCTTCTCTCTTCCTTCTCTCTCTCTCTCTCTCTCTCTCGTCTCTCTTCGTCTCTCTCCTGTCTTCTCCTTCTCCTTCTCCTTCTCTTCTCCTTCTCCTTCTCCTTCTCCTTCTTCGCTCCCCCAGCCCCTCCCCTACTCCTCTTATCCTACTTCTACTCCCCTCCATCTCTCTTCTCTCTCTCTCTCTCTCCCACTTCTCTCTCTCTTCTCTCGCTGCTCATTCTTTTTTGTTCTCCCCCATGACCGGCGAAACCCTCACTCCGCCGACAGCCGCGCTCCCAGCAGGTGGGAAACTGAAATTGGTCTAAGAGGCGATCGTGTTGGAGAGGGTAGGGTATGGGGGGTGAGTGTGGGGTTATGGGGTGAGTTGTTGGGGTAGGGGTGAGTTGGGGGTATGGGGGTGAGTTGGGGGTATGGGGGTGAGTTGGGGGTATGGGGGTGGTTGGGGTATGGGGGTGAGTTGGGGGTATGGGGTGAGTTGGGGGTATGGGGGGCGTGATGGGTGAGTTGGGGGTATGGGGGTGAGTTGGGGGTATGGGGGTGAGTTGGGGGTATGGGGGTGAGGTTGGGGGATGGGTGAGTTTGGGGGTAGAGTGGGGGGGAAGGGTAGGAGGAAGGGGGGTAGAGGTAGGGCTAAAGGAGGAGGGGGGTGGCGGGGGGGGGGGAGGGGGGAGAAGCGTGAGGGTGTACGCTGATAGTCCAATTACGGTAATGATAGGGCAAAAATTTTCTGATTATTTTTTTTTTTTATTTCCATTTTTTTTTTTTTTTTTTTTGCAAGTGGGCTAAAACCACAGGTGTGATGGGCCAAGGCAGTGGAGTGGGAACAGTCTACATACTCCCTGCGCAGCCAACCTTGTCACACGAGATATAGCACCAGATAACCCACATGACTCAGTCTATTGAGAGCGGTAACTAGTGCAGATCATCCACGGGGAAACACACATGCTGATTCCATTTTCTTTGAGGTTTTCCATTTTTTATTTTATCGAGGAGTGACTATTTTGTACCGAACCATTCCTTGAACGCTGTATTATTATTATCATTCAATAAGTTATGATTCAAATCTTTTTTCTTAAATATATCTAAATCGTATTGGTTCCATTGCCGTGCTGTCGAAGAGGTAACTCCCGGACCAACTCAGCAATATGTTGATTAGCCGCCATTAACATCGGGTCCCTGATTAATCTCACTTGCTCTGTTAATTCCCCGCTAACGGTATGCCGAAGCCAGAGCCGCCAAACACGTCCGCGCGTTCAGTGGCAGTCGAACGCGGGGTGCAGAATGGACCTGAATATCGACTATCCGTGAATCGACTGCAGAAAAAAAATGATAATAAATAAAAAAATAAGAAAAAAAAGGAGCCACGCGTTCCTATAAGCAAGACGGATACACAACCGCGCGTTCCTGTAAGTTAGACGGATCAACAATAAGCAAGACGGACACAACACTTAGACGGACATATCGACGGACTATCCCATAAAGCCGGACCCACAACCACGTTCCTATAAGCAAGACGGATCCACAAATAAGCAAGACGGAGACCCGCGCGTTCCTGTAAGCAAGACGGATCCACAACCTATAAGCAAGATGGATTCAAACCCATGCGTTTCCTATAAGCAAGACGGATACACAACCTATAAGCAAGACGGATCCACAAACCAAGGTCCATATAAGCACTTATATAGACCTTGTAACAACCACGCGTTCCTATAAGCAAGACCGGATTCACAACAAAAGCAGACGGATCCGCAACCTTTCCTATAAGCAAGACGGATCCACAACCACGCGTTCCTATAAGCAAGACGGATCCACACGGCGCTTTCCTTGTAAGCAAGACGGCTTCCACAACCACGCGTTCCTATAAGCAAGACGGGATACACAACACGCGTTCCTACAAGCCAAGACGGATCACACAACCGCGCGTTCCTTGTCAAGCAGACGGATCCACAACCTATAGCAAGAGGATTCACCAACACTATAGCAAGACGGATACACAACCTATAAGCAAGACGGATCCACAACCAAGGTCCATATAAGCACTTATATAGACCTTGTCCAACAATAAGCAGACGGCACGCTCCTGTAAGCAAGACGGATCCACAACCGCGCGTTCCTGTAAGCAAGACGGATCCACAACACGCGTTCCTATAAGCAAGACGGATCCACAACCACGCGTTCCTATAAGCAAGACGGATCCACAACCAAGGTCCATATAAGCACTTATATAGACCTTGTCCACAACCACGCGTTCCCATAAGCAAGACGGATCCACAACCAAGGTCCATATAACACTTATATAGACCTTGTCCACAACCACACGCGTTCCCATAAGCAAGACGGATCCACAACCCAGGTCCATATAAGCACTTATATATGACTTGTCCACAACCACGCGTTCCTATAAGCAAGACGGATCCACAACCACGCGTTCCTATAAGCAAGACGGATCACCAACCACGCGTTCCTATAAGTAAAGACGAATAACAACCTTAAGCAAGACGGATCCACAACCGCGCGTTCCTGTAAGCGAGACGGATCCGCGCGCATTCTGTGACAAGACGCACTCGAGCCTTTTAGCACTTGCGGATTGAGTTGTTGGCAGGAGCTGTGACGGGAGAGTGCGGATGGCGGGGAGTTCAGTGTGCCACTCTAAAAATGTGTGCGGATCTGCCTGCCTCCGCCTCCCCCTCCTCGCTCGTTTTTAATTGCCTCCTCCTTGTTGTCGTTTTCTTCTCTCCATCTCTGTATTCTTCTTCGCCTCTCTTCCTCGTCTGCTGTACTTCCTCCTCCTCCTTCAACTCTTCCACCTGTACCTTTCTTTTACACAACTTCCTCCTGTACCTTTCTTTTTTTTTTTTTTTATTTTCTTGCCTTTTCTTCCTTCTTTTTCTTCTTCCACTTCCACTTACATCTCCTCCCCCTCACACTCCTCCACATCCACCCCTTACCACCATCTCCTCCACCTCTCTTCTTCTTCTCCCTTCCTTCTTCTTCTTCCCCCTCCTTCTCTTCCTCCTCTTCCCCTCCTTCTCTTCTTCTTCTTCCACCTCCTCCTCCTCATCTCCACTCTACCACCTCAAACTCCACCAACCACACCTCCACTCCTTCTTCCTCCTCCCCCTCACCCCCTTCCTCCTCTTCCACCACCCTCCTCCTCCTCCTCCTCCTCCTCCTCCTCCTCCTCCTCCTCTCCTCTCTCCTCCTCCTCCCTCCTCCTCTGCGTGCTGCTCCTGCATGACTCATCCCGGCCCGAGGCGGTTCGTCTGTTGCCAACATCATGAACCTTATTCTCTCTCTCTCTCTCTCTTTCTCCATTTCCTCCTCGCTTTCTGTGTAAATTCATTCTGAAAAAGGGTGGGCCAGGGTCCGTGTGGGCGTCGCCGTGTATCGCATTGAAGTTAGGAGGTGAGCGAGCACCCATTCATTTTTAAAGAGGGTTCGTAGTAGTGTGAGAGGAATTGTAAAAGGAAGTTGTTTACAGAAGTAGTTTGAATGGCGACCCGACAGATGGCGTTGCGGGTCGTGACCACCGCGAGCTCCCTCGTAACGCCGAAAGAGCCAATTTTCCCTCACTCATTTCCAACTCCTCGCCACATTTTAAGTTCATTCTATCGTATGGACGAGCCTCCTATTCTTCCAAAGTTAGTAAAAGTGTCGAAATAAATGTCCGAAGTTGTGTGGCCGGAGGCGCACGGCAAGGAGTGGGTGGAGGTGTGGGTGCTTTGTTGTTGTCATTGAGTTAGTGTTGTTGTTGTTGTCGGTGGGATTACACGTTGCCGCTCCTCTGTCGTGCAATAACCATGTTCAATGAGGGATAGCTGGCGCTTCCTCACACCTCACACTGGAAGAAGGTGTGAGGGGGATTAAGGAAAGAGGAAAAAGGGGGAAGAAGAGTGGAGAGGAGGAAGGAGTAAAGAGGAGTTGGCGTTTTTAAACATCCTGGTGGAGGGGGAACATCGAGTTGCTGCTGCTCGTGTTGTGTGTGTCTCTCTCTCCTAATTTCCTTTTTTTGCGGCGTGTCTGCGATGAGACGGGAACTTGCTCACGATAGACGGATTCATTATGGATGTAAAGGCGAGTACGGTATATTTTATGTGAAATGAATGGTAGATGAATTAGCACTCGGTTTATTAAATTGCTAATTATATTTTCGCGTATTGCGGTAACTGTTGGCAAGCGTTTTTTATTTTATGTTTTCAGACTGTGTGGTTAATGTATCTTTTATTGCACAGGGGTGGGAGTTGATGTTATGACAAGGAAAAGTTTCGTTGGTTCTTTACACTCTACCATATGTCACAAATTAATGGCCCTTTGGTATATAAGGGTATGTTGTTATTGGTATTATTATAACCTCTTGCTTGGTATTATGGTGGTTGATGTGAATTTCTGTACAATATGTCAGTCTATATTTAGACAATTTTGATAAAGAAAAAGTCTGGTTGACGGATACTCAAGCTTTTCAAAATATTAATTGTTTGGTAGTATTTGTCCAGTTTCATTCTTCATGCCACGATTTAACAATTCCAGCATAAGAGTGTATGCAACCAATGATTTAAAAAC